TTGGTGACTATATTATTTCTATTTATAATTTGCGTGTATGAAGTGCATTCCACTCGTGACTGATAAACACGAACTATTTATGTTTTCAAACCCAACCTCCATAAACACAAAAGTAAAACGAATTTTCGGTCTCCAACCAAAGCTTTTCAAATGGAAATGACGCAGTTTTCTGAAATATTGAGCGAATGCATTGGAAGAAATAATCTAAGAATCTTACAGGCGAGGTACGTCAAGTGGATTTGCTGGGTTATATTCAAAATCAGTGATCCAGCTCATTTTAAGGAATCCCACAGAGCAGTGGAATGTTGAGATTACATTTACAGAGCACATAAACATGTTAGTTTAATAGACAAAGTTAATGGACATATACCGAATTAAAAAATAAATTACGGAACATGCATTCAGAAAAAGTTAGCTTCCTTGTACGTTATTGGTTCTTAAAGTACACTGGAAACAAAAAACGATTCCTGGAAACTTTCGTGGTCAAGGATTTTTGTAAAAGAAGAAGAAGCATGGAGGAAAGGGTTGTCTTCAACATTATGTAAATAACCTAAAGTGAAATTTACTTCCAAAATAAACCTTTAAATTATTGAAATTTGAATATGATATTAAATAGTAGTCCAAAAAGATGAAAAAAAATAAAAAAATAATTCGAACCAATAGAGGTCGCAAGTAACTATAATAAATAGTATATTATCAGCTGTAAGTGTAATACCGCTATTTTACAAGTCTAAGTACAATGAACATACAGAGACACGGTTTTCCTTATATGGTGTGTCAAGGTCGTCGTGAGAACGAGGCTGATAATTTTTTGACGAGTAAACAAAACAGATTATTTTTATTCATTCTACCCATAACAACAGCCAATGCCTAAGTCATCAGGTGGTTAAATATAGAGGTCCACACACAAATATATCTTATCAAGCCTCACTCCTTTCAAGGGTAAGGTTTAATAGTGCATTTGTGTCTTTTAATAGGAAAATAAGTGGGATAACTACAGCCCTATTGGCGATAATAGAAGCTTTTTAGGCCTATATTATACTTAACAACCAACTCTATATTTTACATCTGGCTATATATGAATAAACCTATTTCATATAACTTCGAGCTGCCTCTTCTCGTTATATTCTGATGTCTATGTTTCAGAATATACTTACAATACCTAGACTTAAAACAGGATAAAATACAAAAATAGGAAAATACTACTGCTTATGAAGGTGAGGGTAAGAGTTTATATTTCGTGTATCTAGATTTTCAGAAAGCTTTTGACAAGGTCCCACATAAAAGACTTGTAAAAATTATCTCTATAGGTGTGGAGGATAACTTATTTAGATAGAAGAGTGGCTGGATGGAAGAAAGCAGAAGGAAGTCAACCTGGTTTAATGTCACAAGAGGAGTACCTCAGGGTTCAGTTTTAGGACCTTTGCTCGTTTTGATTTACATCAATGACAGAGATAAGAAAATAGTCAATAAATTACTTACATTTGCTGATGATATTAAGGTTTTGGGTGTTGCTAACTATGAAGAGGATGCTGCTGATTTGTAAAAGGATTTAGATCATTTAGTGAGTTGGGCAAATGGGTTTTAATTATGATAAATACAAGTTAATGCATGTAGGTTATAATAATTATAATTATAAATATAATCTGGACGGTAATAACCCTACTACTAGCAACAGCACACTGTTTGGATGGCTTAAGAGACTGATTAACCATTACACCAAGATCCCTTTCTTTCATGACACTGTTAAGGTTATTCCCATCCAAATTATACTTATGATTAAAATTATGATAACCCACATGCATTGTCTTGTATTTATTATAATTAAAACCATAAAACCCATCTGTCATTGATTTTCCCAAGTCACTAAATGATCTAAAGCCTTTTGTAAATCAGCAACACCCAAGACCTTAATATCATCTGCAAATTGAGGCAATTTATTGACCATTTTTTCATTTATGTCATTGATGTAAATCAAAAAGGTTCTAAGACTCAGCCCTGAGGTACGTCCCTTACACTGCATCCTCAATCCGTTTTACTTAACTCCATTTATGCAACCCTCTGCTTTTTTTTCCATTCAGCCACTTTTCTATCCAATTTGCTAACTTATACCCCACACCTATAGAGGTATTTTTTACAAGCCTTTTATGTGGCACCATGTTAAATGCTTTCTGAAAATCCAGATACACCAAATCTACGCCCTTAACCTCATCTACATAAGCAGTAACCTTTTCAAAGAATGTGGACAGATTTGTAAGGCAAGATTTTCCCTTAGTGAAAATAACTTTGTTAAATGACTTTGCAAAGCATCTTTTATCGGACTTCCCAAAACTTTTCCCACAACTGATTTAAGATTAATAGGCCTATAATTTCTAGGTGCTAATATCGGGTAAACAGTAATTATCGGCTTAAATGCTCTGTTATCATAATGATTCCATAAGGTTAACTTAAAGTTGCAAACTTTTTCGAATAATTAAACATAACAAAGTAATTTGAAGGCACACAGATTGGTATTTAAGCACCACCACCATACCTGGTCAAAAGCCACGTGTTGCTTTGTTTACTCGTCAAAATAACCTAGGTCAATATGGCTGACAAACCGTTGTCTCTGTGTATTAGTGTTAGTTATAAATTACCTGCTTTCACTTGAATGTCTCTGCTTCCGACTTTGCCCAATGAGTTAGATGCCACACAGCGGTAAGCAAGTGAGTGAATGTCCTGTCGAAAGCTTTCTGAACGAAACGGTGGAAACACTAGTGTACCGTTAGACAAGGAAATCCGTAAACCAGGAACGTCGATAGCTTCTGTACCATCTGTCAGAACCCAATAGATATCAGGGTTAGGGTTTCCCGTAGCAGAACAACGAAGAGACATTCCTGAACTGTTGAGGAAAGTTACACTTGAAGGAGGTTCAAAACTTATCGTGGGAGCGCTGTATTCGGAGAAAGTAGCGTCACCTATTGAAGAAAGCAGTTAAATATAATAAATATTTATGATATATTAAAATAATCAAAAGCAGAATTCAAACATTATAAAGGCACTACAAAACGGCACAAATGCGACATGATATTTGACAACAAAACGACTATAATCTACGCACATAAGTCAAGGAGCACTGTAGTCGGAAAAAGCAGCGCTACCTACTGAACAAAGTGTTAAAAATTGTATATAAATTATTTTTATAATGTATTAAAATAATAACAAAAATGATTTGAAATTGTTTACGACATGAAAAGAGAGCACAACTGCGAGATATCATTTGATAAAATTGTTTGTTTGTTTCGAATTTCGTGCGAAGCTACACGAGGGCTATCTGCGCTAGCCGTTCCTAATTTAGCAGTGTA